ATCGTTGAAATTAGGCTCTGCGCAAAGTTTATGCCGAAGTTCCAAGGTGCTACGTACTTTACCTCCAATGCCTCAATGTCTGAAGTCTCGAAACTGACTATTACATGGCTCACTTAGTTTAACTAACCAGCCAGAGCTCTAAGTTAATGTATACTGTCTTCTCACTGTTCCAACTGAAACTGTTATGCCTTCTTAAAACTATTATTTAATGTCCGGTGCAGGGATTTTCTTGTATACCTTAGAAAAAGTTCGTCACCGAAGTATGACCTACGATGCCGGTAGTTAGAAAAAAATAACGATGGGTAAGTTATTTCACTGTGAGTGCTAAAAGCAATGGATTTTCGGAACCTTTATTGGTGTCCCTTCACACTTGAACAGACAAAAACTACCAACCTTCTATCCTTGCCTTCTGCTCTGTGAAATTGAACAGTCGAGAGAGTTGGCGAAGTGACGAGAACAACTCAGTAATTTCGCTACCTTACCGACAACCATTTAACCTGAGGAGTCAGGTATGATTGGAATCTATAAAGACGGTATTTAGGATTTCTGAAGCATGTTTTCAAAATTAGAGCATCAGGTGCACCCCGCCTTAGAAGTCGAAGGTTTCATCCACAGAAGTGGGAAAAGATAGGCTGTGAAACCCCACTGTGTTGAATACGTGTAAGTAACCACTAAATTGGTCTTAGTAAAGGGATGTACTTGAGTATCCTTTTGCCGTCTATTACATACGCCGTGACCTATTTACTTTTCCGAAAAGGCTAGCTTAACACTTTTGTGCCATGTCGGTACTCACCATACAACTCAAGCTGTAAGGGTCGTCGACTGCGTTTTGGTTTACTTCGTATCGGTTGAAACACAAACGCTCGGCTTCCTCGAATTTCCAAACGATTTCTGTCGCCGAACGTGGACGCCGTGACTTACTTGCTTCTTTAAGAATACTTATGCATAGTTCCTCGCGTTAGGCGTACACGTTCGGCAACAGAAACCGTTTGGATCTGCTGGTACTTTGAGCCAAAGATGTCCAACTTCTGTTTAGTGAGGAACTTTACAGACAAATTGACGAAGTCGCAATGGTTAGTCCACTCGGGTCAACCGTCGCCGAAGTTTTTATGAATTAACTAGGTGTCATAAAAATTAAACAGGACAGCATTATACAAGAGATACGTGGATGATATATTCACGATTGTTGACAAGGAAGACGCCGCCGACCTATTTTGTGTGATGAATAATTCGCATCCGAAAGTCAAATTTACAATGGAAATGGAGCAGTGTAACAAGTCATCCATCCTAGACGTCCTCATGTCTAGAGAGGATAATGGTTCAATAAGACGCTCCGTCTTCTATAAGATTACGTGGGAAGCGCAATACT